TCAACACACCAACACAGTCCCAACTAGTAACCACTAGTCATTCTTATTCACTTGTTGTATTCAACACACCAACACAGTCCCAACCAGTAACCACTAGTCATTAGCAGTCAATGATTCCTTATGGGAAAACATGCTTTTTTGGCCTCATTGGTGAGATTGAGTTATCTAATGGTTAAGTACTCTTGAACTCCTGTAGATTTGGCGGGAAGTTTTTCGCGTCAAAATCCACGCGCACGCCCCTGAAATGCCACACCAAAGCTTCAAGGTTCATGAAGACAACAGCGACAAGTTCGAAAATAACATTTGCGAAACAGATATAAGGTCACGTACCTCGTGGCTGTTACCATAAACAAACACCTGGTTCACCAATGGACACTGCATATACACAGCCTCGATCTTCTCAGGAGCGATGTATTCACCCTATAAAAAACACAACCATCATTATGAATGTGATTGTAATTGTCTCTGATTGGTCATCGAATCACCAATCAAGAGTAAAGATTATTGTGATTTCGTAATAGTTTCTGATTGGTCATCGAATCACCAATCAAGAGTGAAGATTATTGTGATTTCGTAATAGTTCCTGATTGGTCATCGAATCACCAATCAAGAGTGAAGATTATTCTGATTTCGTAATAGTTTCTGATTGGTCATCGAATCACCAATCAAGAGTAAAAATTATTCTGATTTCGTAATAGTTTCTGATTGGTCATCGAATCACCAATCAAGAGTGAAGATTATTCTGATTTCATTAACAAGCTGTAATAGTTTTTGATTGGATAAAAGGATAAAATGTTTGACAAATCATAAATGAACAAGATCTAAATAGTTTTTGATTGGTCAACGTTTAAATACTCAATAAGGAGTGAGTATTATTTACAGACATTTTCAATGTTTTCCGACGTATTATAATCCTAAAACACACACCAGACTACTAGAGGAAACTGTCAGATCCTCGTACCTGAGAAAGCTTGAAAATATGCTTCTTCCTGTCAATAATTTTAAGAGTTCCATTCTGAAAAGAATATACAATTTATATAAATATATAATACTAATATAATAAAATATAAATAAATAAACAAATATAAAATACACAATTTTATTGTAAATCTGTTGTAATTTTCTGAGCTTCACAACTGATTCCTGCAGACACCACGTGAAAATAATTTGTTTGATGTGTTGCTCTCTACCTTTCAGGAGAGTTTTTCTACAGGCTCTCCAGTTTTTCTCCCTCAAAAAGGCATAGGCACAGACATTACATTGTGAGTAGAGTTTTTTAGGTCTCTCTTGATTTGGAGCTTTCTTAATTTTTGGTTACCCAAAATTATAGTGTTATAAAAAATCACAAACCTCGGTCCATTCGCCAACATCTCCTGAATGAAGCCATCCATCTTCATCAACAGCTTCCTTCGTCTTCTCAGGCTCGTGAAGATATCCTTGAAACACGTTGTAACCATAGAAACAAATCTGTATAACAAGAAAACAATGACATTAGACTTGACTATATGGAAGCCCCGTGGCTAAATAAAATAAATAAATAAATAAATCACTTATATTTAAGTGTCTAGTCGTTCTAGCGCTTCCGCTCTAATTGGGGACACTTTTCGCACACACGCACCACCACTACATTCAATATTCTATGCAAGCAACGCTCAGCTCACATGTTGATTTTTACGAATGGAGGAAACCGGAGAACCCGGAGAAAACCCTCGTAGCATAGGAGAGAACAACACATCAAACAAACTCAATTCACATGTGACGAATGCAGGGCTCGAACCAGCGATCCGACCCGTTGGACTCACAGTGGTGACAGACGACGCGTTAGCCGCGAATGCCACCCATGCTACCCATAAGTAGCTCTTGTCCATAGTCTCTTGTCCAAAAGTATAGAGGAAGCCCAATGAATGGGAATGTGCTTACCTCTCCTTTCCCATCTTTAGCAAAGTAGTTCATTTCTGGGACGTCTACTAACTTGATTTTGTTACATGGCATTGGAGGTCCCACATGGCCTGACATACAAACAGAAAACAAGAATGAATTCAGAGTTATGTGTGGAGAGGTTTATTATTATTATTTTAATATATTTTTCTATTAATTATTATTATTATTTATTATTTCTAATTATTTTATTTATTCCATAAGCAAAAACATGCCAGAAAAGAAAGAAGAAACATCTTTTACAAGCTATTTGTAGTGTAAGTATAGTGTAGGTACTGGACAGTAATGCCTAATTTCTTACCAAATGTGTTGTCTCCAACAAGCTGAATGGTTGAAGCTGCTGTGGTTTCTGTCTGTCCATAGCCTTCAAGTACCTATATCAGGTAAAAAATGCCTGTTAGAATAACTATCAGTATACTCTAGGAAAGTTTAGAAGGACCTCACTCTAGCTATCGCATGTGAGTTTTTTGTTTTTTGTTTTTGTTCTCTTTATGGGTTTCGAGGGTTTTTCCACTCGGCTCTACAGTTTTTCTCCCCTTACACTAAAACCAACCTCTAAATCGCAATTCGATCGTGGAGTGAGGACCAGAGGTTATCCTCGTAACATAAGGAAAATTTATGGATTTACTATGATTGGCTAGCATGAGTAATAATTCTATCCCATTAATTGCTTAATGTCAATCACATGACTTTTTTGAGTTGACTAGGGTGCAAACAAGCAGCTGACTGAGCAGATGTTAAGTCAAAACATGTCAAAATAAGTCTTCAAACTATTGTATTTGTCTATTTCTACGACATGAAACCAGAAAACAAGAGATCAAAACAACCTTTAAGATCTACAAGCCATTAAAAACGCAGCTATTACTGGAATTGATGTCTATTGATAGAAGCCTATTTACTAGTACAATACGTATGACAGTGGAAAACAAACTTACAATGCATCCCAATGCACATCTCAAGAATACCATGACGTCATCTCGTAATGGTGCAGAACCAGAAATGACAAAACGCACTCTTCCTCCCAGAGAATTCTAGTAAAAAAGTATAAAAATATATATTTATGAACAAACAAAAACACCTTAAAAGATGGCGGATGAATGAATGGGATGATTGGTTGGATAGGATAGAAATGGATAGGATGTAATGGTTGGGAAATAATAGATCATAGGCAAAAATGGAAATGTTTCAAGCTTAATTACCTGTATTTTTTTAAACACAAGATAATCCCATATGCTGTTTCTTCTGATAATATTCCTGGAATGAAAGTAAGTTCGTAAGTAGGAACCAAGAGACCACTGCTTACAGCTCCCCTCCCCCCTCCCCAAAGCACCACTATGCAGGCTAGAATGTTTAAGATTAACCAATCAAAATTTTTGGATAAATTTATTCGGTTTCATTTGTTCACTTGACTACCAGTAAAAACAGAAATATTGTAAATTTTTTCTTTGTACCTTTCCAGCTCAGCTTTCTTGAAGCTCAGAGCAGTGTTGAAAATAAATTTCTTGACGGTGCTTCCAGACACTTCCTTGATTACCTATAACAACATAGATCAACAGTCACATTCTATTTAACATACGTTAAACATTCAAAATCAATAATGATGAAAAGGTAAATTATACATCGTGAAAAGATGAAAAAACTTACTTTCATCTTTTCACGGTGTATAATTTACCTTTTCATCATTACTGTTTCATTAGAAACACCTACGCAGCTCACACTAGTTTTTAGCTAGTTATCTCTTCCATTCAAAATCAAGGATGGTTGTGTAGAAATATTGCATTTGCCTTGCCTCTAGTCTCTCACAAATCAAACTGGAATTTAGGAAAACCAGATAACCCAGAAAAAACCCTTAGAAATAGGGAAGTAGCCTAATACACTCTACTAACATGAGATGCCAAGTCCAGAAATTGAACCAGGGACCCCAGAGATGAGAGGCAAGTCACTACTGCTACAGGGTGAGTGCACTACCCCTACACAAGCCTCGATTCCCTCGAGTTGAATGAAGACAGTGGAAGAAAACTTACTACTCACCTTATCATAAACCCTGTTCAAAACCCTTGGAACTGAAATAAAAAGAGTTGGCCTGCAAGGAAAATTTACTAGATTTTAGACTCAGTTCTCTTTGTATTTATTTCCTTTTAAAGAATATTGCTTTACCACATGGAGCCCAATCATGATAAAAGTGTAAGAGAATATATAATTTGAAATATTTTTTTTACAACATTTTATATATCTTAAGCCAATGAAGTGTGTTATAATAATACAGACGAACTGAAAAAAACAAAACAAAACAAAACAAGAAAAAATGCAGTTAATATTTTTGTGTTCATTTTTTTAAATTCTAATCTTAATTTTCACATCAATTGGGGTCCCTGTGGTTTTACGAATAAAAGCTATCATTATATATATATCAAAGATGAGAATATGTGGACCGCGTAGCACTTATGAAATACATGAAGATATAGAAATATAGATAAGTTATGGTGCTTGGGAACGAGGTTATTCCGGGCGAAAGACCCTTGGAATTAAATTCAGAAAAATTAATTTCCGACCTCGCTGGAATATATACACATATCACTATATCTTACTTTAATTCCTGTAAGTCTTCCATGATTTTTCTGATGTTACCACCAAAGAAACCGACTCTTCCACCAAACATGAAGCACAAAAGCTATGAGTGAAAAACAAACGTTAGTGTTTTACATATTAACTAGACTGCGAGCAGTCCCTCTAATTTCCTTGGTCACTGTCTGTCTGTCTGTCCGTGTTGATTGGCCGAGGAAGATTGGTTATGAGTCAAAAGTCCTTGGGGGAGATGGACAGTGACCAAGGGAAATAGAGGAAATTCTTGCAGTCTACATATTGACCACCAATAATCAAACTTAATTAGCATGAACTAGCTGGGAAAAATAGCTATAGTTCCCTTACTAGGCTTCTTGCCTATAGGGTTATTAGTTTGATTCCTGGACCTAGCATCCATATGAGTAGAGTTTTTTAATCCTTTCCTTTGCTTGATTTGAGGGGTTTTCTTTTGGTTCTCCAGGTTCCCTCCCTCTGTAAAACCTACCAAGCTAAATTCTAATTCGATCTGTGAATTATCCTTGCCCTCACTTAAGATCAACCCTGGGGTTGTTTAAGGGTTTGATCTGTGAGTTAGCCATTCCCTGACTAGATCCGCCAAGAGGTTGTTTCAAGGTTCAATCTGTGAGTTAGGCATAACCTGACTTAGATCAGCCCAGAGGTTGTTTCAGGGTTTGATCTGTAAGTTAGCATGCCCTGACTAAGATCAGCTTAGAGGTTGTTTTCAGGGTTCGATAAAATGGAATTTCTTTTAGGAACAGAACAAAGAACTAACAAAGATTATAATATAGTCAAGTAAATCCGCGCGATCTGATTGGTTGAAAAGCATGAACCATTTGCCCATGGGTTGCACGCTCACGTCAGCTTTTTTAGCTTCGGCGAAAAAAAAAATTTTTTGTATCTTTTTGCTGACAATTTATCTAGAAAAGATAACTGAAAATGATTGAAAAAAACTAGCGAAAATACTCATCAATCTCCGACATTTAGTATAGAGTTGTCATTTGATCAGCCTAGTAATAATACGTCAAGATTTGCATCACTTTCAAACAGTGAGCTGGACA